ATCTCCTTGATGCCAACCACTTATTTCAGACGGACCAATGCAAACGAGAGGCAGCCCAAGTTTGTCATTTGGGACAGGAAAAGTGAAAAGAGGGGCAAATGCTCTCCTATAAGAGTTTCATCCCGGTTTTAAAGCTGCTCATTTCAAGCTCAAAAATATCTGACATTTGTGTTACTGGGGAGCAATGCCCGGTTTTGTCCCAGAACAGTTCTCGGAAGCATGCCACAACAGAAAGCTACCAGCATGAGACATAGGAGTAGAAAAATGAACTGGGTTGACAAAGTAGATCATTTTCCCCTCTCCGCTGCACATAAATCGTATGTCACATACATGTCCTGAAGTTAAATAATTTAAAAAGGTCAGACTACCGATACAAGATCATACTTCTAATAGTAAAAGCTGTTTATTACTAAGACATTCAGCTGTTCTAAAAGCAGGATAAATGGCTATTCCTCACAAATTACAGGAAGTGAATAAATTCATGTACTTTGGAATACAGCTCTCGGCTTCCTAGTGTCATGTCGTTGTATGGGTTTTTTATTGCTAAATTGTCAGAAAATGAAGAAAGCTATCGCAATCTGATTACAAATTAGTTGTTGCTTGACTAGATAGAAGGAAAACTCTTTGCCCTTTGACTTTTGTTAAGGTATCTTTTCAAATGATGTACTGAAAGCTAATTTCAGCATTTTTGCTTTAAGTTGCATTTCTTATAGCAAATAATTAGTGGTTTCAAGTATGCACTGCATAGCAGTGCCAGCTGAAAATTACACATCACAAACTAATGCTGTTTCACAAGCCCTGATCTGAAAAGGGAGGCGGTGATCAGAAATCTGGTATCCCTCCGTCACACAAAGCTGACCAAACCGACACAGAACACAGCAATACAAACCGCCCAGTACCAACAGCGCTTTCACTTCAGAGAATGAATACAGGTACAACACAGGAATACATTCCTGTGACCTCCACAGGAACTTCAGCGCGCGTCTCTTGCACCGCTGTATATACAGATCTCTCAAAAGTTCTGGGGTCTTTGACATCAAGACATCGCAAAGCATGAAGTCACCATTTATTCTTTTCTCTGACAAAAATCCTAAGTGCTATAAAAATCCCTACAAATCTAAACACAGTACAGCTGGTCACTTCTTTATGTCTCCATAATGTTAACAGAAGCATATCAAAACACATTACTCAGTCATTAGTAACTACCTCTAACCAACTTAAACATACTTATTACCTCACATCAGTATTAACCCTTTGCTGCTTTGAGGTATTATACAGAAGCACAATTAAGGTAGAAGACTCTCCTCTTTTCAAAAAATATACTCCTTTCACTTGGTACTATTTTCCTATCATCTAATCCATTCTACATTTTCAGAAGTCCCACACAATAATAGTGTATTTTATACAAACCACCTATTTTCAAGACCCACCAGAATTCTTCTGGGGGAAAAAAAAAAGCAACCCCAAAACAAACCACTGTAAGTAAAGCAAGCATTGCTTTTCCTTTTAGGTTGTTCCAAAGCAGATAACCAACTAATCCTAAGGGAGCAATTCCTCAGTGCTCCAAAATAAACAGGCTTACAGCCTACCTAGTAGTCTGATGCTCTTAAGTGACATCAGGCAGGCAGGGAACACAGGAGAACAGCAAACAGCTGAAGTCGGTCGGGGCAGCTGATGTCCTGTGTTCAGGATCCCTCACTCCACAGGCCAGCAGAAAGCCACAGCTGTGGCATTTCACAGAACAAAACTCACAGGAAGCTGAATTTCTGTTTGGCATTAGCAAATTCTTAGCCGTTTTGCAATTTCCAACTTTTTCCCCATTTACTGTGGTCTGCAGTATAAGCAGCCAAAACCAAAGCTCTGATGATGAGCAGAACTGCAGGTGTTTATAACTGTTTTAAGAGGGAGGCCCTGACCTTCACAGACTCACAAATAAAGTGGCCTCATTCCTCCACCTCCTTCTTGGTCTCCTTTGGTTTCTCTGGGCAAACTTTTTTCTGTCAGTTTTTCTCACCAGAAAAAGGGGAATGAGGTTTTACCTTTCAACACTTAACTTACGAAAAACCAGGGCTATTCTCAAAACCAAGTTATTATGCATGCATCTGTAGCATAAGAGCAGCGTTCCCAATAGTTTCCCTTTAGGACCTAGAAAATGTCTTTCTCCAAGAAGCCATGCTGTCCCTTTCATTACTCCTTCAGGGAGGGACAGTTACTTTGGTAACTTGCTCCCTTCCTACTGCCATACAGCTCTAAAATTACATCACCAAAAAAAGTGAAATTTGTGGTAACTCTAAGGTATCCACAGTGACTTAAGTGAGTCTGTATGTTACTGCCCCAAACACTTGAATACCCTCAGTTGTTAGAAATCAGTGTTGTGCAGCTGAACGGCGATTGCATGATGCCTGCCCAAAGACGCTCCAACCCTAGGGCCACTCTCCACAACATGATCATTAGCAAAGGAACAACTCTCTATTTACCACACACAGCCCGGTATGAGAAAGTGCTTTAGCCCTAAACTTCAGCATTGCAAGCACTTTGCTCGTCAGTTCTTCAAGTAAGAGAAGCATTTTCCAGGGAATCACGATGACGTACACAAATGTCATGCAAGTATCAAATCCATTGGATTCCCCAGATGTTACAGCTTCAGGACCTTCTGGCAGTGCTAGCCCCCAGATTCCAGCAGGGTCCCGACAGCCAAGCTGCCTCCCATAGCTCCCATTCCCACTGCCAGAACGGGAGAGGGCACTGGGCCTGCTCTGTGACAGCCGGGACACCCGACAGCCTTCCAATTAAGCCAGTGACACCAGGGCACCCCGGTGCCTGTAGGTGGATTGCACAGGTGTCACTGGCTTAATTGGAAGATGGCAGGGCTGCACAGCTGTCAGAGGACATTAATTTGGCCTGCAGTATTTGCATTCCTGGTAGCAAAGACAGAGGAGAGTGAAAGATCCCAGGTCAGCTGTCACAGACCAAGCTGAGTTTGTGGGTACGACAATTAAAAAAAAGAAAAAAAATAAAACCAGGCCAAAGTCTCTCCCATGTCAAGCTTTACTTGCAGCCACAGCCATCTGCTCCCCCATTCGCAAGTACCAAAGCTACTGCGGTTTACGCCAGCTGGTTCTGGGGTCCTCAAGGGATCTCATGCTGAGAACTGGCTGTGTTTGCGGACCTTGCCGTACCTTGGAAAAGTTGTACAAAAGGTGGTTCTACACTGTTTAGCGGAAGGCTGCACACAAATCCTAGAGGAATTCTTACCTGGGGAGCAGCTGTTTTTCAGCACTGCACAACGTAGCCCCTTCTGCCCCCAAAAGGAGGACAACCATGTGAAACCCCACATATTGAACTCAAGTTATCCTAGAGCAGGAATTTGTAAAACAAACATTTGTATGTTTAGGAATAGGAGTTTGAAATCAAATTGCTTATGTAGTTCAGGATCATTACGTCTTAAATAAAAACTCCTGTAACCACAGTCAGAAAACAATCCAGTTCAACATTTTATGAAGAGTGAGCCTCTCTCCCTTCCTACTGAAAATTACTGCACAGGGCAGGCAAGTCCAGACCCATCCCACAATGCCTGAAGTGGGGCAGATCCCCCACTCCCTCTCTTGCTTATCAAACTTGAGGCAGACTCACAAGTCCCACAGAGTATCATAAATGCACTCAAATTTTAATCTTCAGACATGTTTTCCTTCACAATACTGTTGTCATTGCTAACAAAAAAGTTTTCAAAACTTTTCCACTCCACATCATATAAATGGCAATTTAGACAAAAAAGTTGGCGTTAGAAGAAAATCCTCAGATGACTTGATTCCAAGTAATTTTATAGCCAACTGCTATGATTTGAATAGGATACTTCAAACATCAGCAGTTAAGATTAGTCTAACTGAGGTTAGTGGCCAGCTCTCCAAACAGCACCCATTTTTGCTTCAGCCTTACAGCGCACAGCTTCCATGCGTAGGGGAACCCGTTTCAGCAAGAGCTGCTCCAGCTTCTCTTTGCCAGGACCAAATCTCAGTGTATTCCAGGGAGAGGAAAAACTGCAATCTGACCAACTATGTTAAATCATAGAATGGTTTGGATTGGAAGGGACCTTAAAGACCACCTAATCCCACCCCCCCTGCCATGAGCAGGGACACCTTCCACCGGACCAGGTTGCTCAAAGCCCCATCCAACCAGGCCTTGAACACTTCCAGGGATGGGGCATCCACAGCTTCTCTGGGCAACCTGGTCCAGTGCCTCACCACCCTCATAGAGAAGAATTTCTTCCCAATATCTAATCTATACCTTCCGTCTTCCAGTTTAAAGCCACTGTCCCTTGTCCTGTCACTGCACACCCTTGTAAAAAGTCCCTCCCCAGCTTTCTTGTAGGCCCCTTTCAGGTACTGGAACGGTGCAGTAAGGTCTCCTCCGCGCCTTCTCTTCTCCAGGCTGAACAACCCCAACACTCTCAGCCTTTCCTCATAGGAGAGGTGCTCCAGCCTGCTCATCAAATCTTACTATAAATTCCACATGGGATTAGCTTCCCCAAACTTAAAATGCTGTCAAGTCATATTTCACTAAAAAACACTACAAAATTACAATGGTGCAACGTAATTTGACCTACAGTGTTGCTTACGCTATTATTTGTGTTGATCTCAAACTGTATCTGAACATCGCCCAGCAGGGTGGTTTCTAACTGGCCACAGGCATGACACTTCACAGGAGATACCGCTACAGCTCTGTCCAAGAAATATCTAGGAGTCTGTTTGAAGAAAGCATTCTCCAAAAACATCTGCATGCATTTCGTGTTTAAAAACAATTTCCTACATAATTTAAACAAGTTTGCAAGGGATCAACATTGTATGCATTGTATCGATGTCATTGTAATTGTGCTGCTTAAGCATCCGCACTTAAATATTAAACTACTGCCACGTCAATGAAACAGCAGTTTAGTGGGAGACTAAATGGCTTCTCATGTGTTGATCAAAACAATAGAAATACCGACATACTGTGGCACAGAATTAGTATAAATAGACTTTATTGAAGTCAGTACCTTTGTACTGAAGCCGAAGATTGTGTCTACATAAGCACAAGTTGTAACATTTCACAACTTCTAAAAGGAATGTCAACAATTACAACGATCATGCATACCATGGTCGATAATCACATTTTTAGAAGCATTTTCAACCATTTCTAAAGAAATGCTTATAACATTGTTATATATAGAACTACTTTCAATAAACTGCAAAACATTGATCAGCTTTTCCAGTATGAGCTACAGTGTCAACACAAAAGGGAGGCATAAATGTTTAATTTATGAAATCAGAATGAAATATTTACTGTAAAGAAAAATTAAAAAGCTTTCAAATAAAGGCCATTATTGAACCAAAGTGAAGAGCACAACTTGAACTTTGAATCCTTTCATCTCTTAAAGCTGTCCTCTGAATAACTTCAGTTCAAAGCATAAATTCAGTACTGTGAGTATTCCTTGGACTGAAGTTTGGCAATGATGCGATCCAACTGTCTCTTTGCTTCGCACTGTGGAAAATTGCTCATGTCATAATACTGAGGGGCAATTTTCACCAGCCTGTCAAAAAAGGAAAAGTTTTGTTACTAATACTCAAAGATGCGTCTTACAGAAACTCTACAACCAAAGGAAACAAAGATTATCCTTCATTTTCAGCTTATTCTGCAATTCTAAGATTAATGAAGTTTACACACACACACACACGTTTAAATCTCAGTCCCATCCTGTGCAAGCACCCAAGTCCAAAGCGAAACAGCACACGCTTGAGGCTCCTGAGAAGCTCCTCTTCAGCCATACGTCCCTCACAGCCCCACACTGTGGCTTCAGTACGTGCCACAGCAGCCCATACAATCAGAGCTGCTGCCTCATGTCAAGGTCCACAAGGCACAGAACTCCGCCTAAATACCAGCTTGTGTAAAACTACAGTTCAGCCGTAGCTGTTTTAAGCTTAAAAATGCAACCAAGGCTACAGGATCCTGCTTTAGGCTATATGGCCTTTGTTGAGGAAAAGACTTCTAAGGAAGGATTCAAACACCTATTTTCCATTAAAATACTACGGAATGTGTATATATATACATGCTATGGTTTCCAGGTTACAAATCTTTTAACTCTTTCTGCACAACAGCACAATTTCAACAACACTTAAAGAGCCTCGCACATCCCCAAAGCTTACAACTTGGCAGTTTAAGTACAACCTTAAAGACGGGCAAGACGATTCAGATCTCTGCTTGTCTGCAGAGGATCAAGCCTCTATTTCCTTGCTATACATTCTACTGACAAATAAATATTACGACAAGGGAGGCTGTACTGGTATTACCGCCTCTTCCCTTCATATTTTAAGAAAGCACTGATCCTTCTGGAAAAATTACAGACACCTCCTGCCAAGAGAGGTCTTAGATCTTAAGAACAGAGGCATCCACCAGTTACATCTTAACTTCGGTGCACAAGTGGGTGCTAGGACATATCCCCAAACCTAGCGTCTCCAAGCAGTTCCTTCCCAACAGGCCTACTAAAGTCACCGGTTTTAAGTCAAGCATCTCTCTGCACACTGCATACAGAACCTGGGCACTTGAGCTTTACACACAACTCTCACAAACAGAAACAAGCGTCCACAAAGAAAACCTTCAGTCATCTTCAAAATTTCAAGTCCATGCCATTGCTGCTCCCCAAACCATTTTAATAACATTAGCTTCAGGAAAAGTGAAAGGAATTACGTCAATTTAAAAACAACAACAAAAAAAAACACAAGAGCTTTTACAGCAGGTTATAACTGTTGTAAGACTTTTGGCTTACCATTCTGGCTTGATGTCTGTACATGTCCGGATGTAATTCTTTGTTGTAAGGACAAACTCGTTGTAGAGCACCCATTCTGGTTTATGATCAAGAACAGTAGAGGGATGCAACTGCACCACCTGGTTATCTTTTACTGTTAAGTAATGCCCTGTTCGTTCCAAGTGTGCCACCTAAGGAAAAGACATTCTGTCATTACCACAAGCAATTTTCAAATGAAGTGATTTCAAGCTGGCTGCTAAGTGTTCTGTACAAAATACATTATCCCAACTTTCAAACCTCATCGAAATTTGGCACATTACCTGACCGCTACAACTATTTACAGACACCACCAAGATGCCAGATGTTTTTGCTAACTGTCATGGTAAGTGTATGTTCTAATACACAATTCAAGCTACACACAAAAACGGTTATCACCCAAAGAGAAGAATCATTATTAGAACAGCAGCAACGCAAACTGAAGTACAGGAAGGGAGTATCTATTGGACAGGTTTGTAAAATCACACAAAGTCAACTGTGCTCTACTACAGACGTCTGCTTCAAGCACTTCACTGCAGCAGCTACTGTGCGACTGGTAAACCACACACTTAATCTTCCAAGTTTTTATTACTGCACTGTTTCAGTAGTAATTTTACTGATGCACGCATCATTCTGCAAATCCTTCTACACAGTGGGCCTGAAAAAAATATGTCAGCCCGGTAAGAACAGTCTTGTTACAGCACAAGCTTCAGAGCTGGAAAATGTAGGTTCAGCAACACACTTCTGCTGTGACCTTGGTGAAAATCAATTAACCTCTCTGACTAAGCTTCTTGCTCTACGAAAGGGAATAATGCCTACCTTGCTGAGATGCTGTGATACCTAGCTCATTAAGATTTGGTAAAGCAGACAGTTACCCTTAGAAGGATATCCTCTGCAAGAACAGTTAATCTAACAGAACAGGTAACGAAAATCAACCTTTTGATACAGGTAATTCAAGATGACCTCAGTACTTATTACATGTATCTATATATATACACACACACAAACTCTGTAAAAAGATTAAGCAGGATGGACAATGGCTGGAAAATGTCTGAAAGACCCTTTTTTAATCAGATCGTTAGCTGCTTTCCTTTAATGTAGACTGTGTACTTCCTTGTTTTCTTAATTTCAAGGTATATCTCATATTTTCCTTTTTTTTTTCTGCCTACTCAAAGGTGAATTCCATTTATTAGATTAAAATCCCAGGACTTCTAAAGCAATAGGTACCTCAAATTTTAAGTCAGAGTATCTCCTTAGTAACAAATTACTTGAGTGTGCTTCTCTTGTACTTTATGACATTCATATCCAGAACATGTTGTAGGAGCGGAACAAAGTATTTCAACAGTCTGCAAATCTTTTCACCCAAAATTTTAGAGATTACATTGCTACTTTATTTCAAATCTGGAGAGCCAACAGAGGCTCTTTTAAATGGAGATTAACAGGGCACTGTCTGTAATGATTTAGGCTTAATTTCATCCAACTCAATCCAACATTTGCAAAATTAAATAGCAGTATAGCTGCAAACCAGACTAGACTAGAAACTCATCTGTCACAGACTTAGCACAATCACAGCACATATGCTGCTGTGGGATTATGTTTTGTTTTTTTTAAAGGAAGTTGTCTGGGGGTTTTTACATCAATTTCATTTTTCAGATCAAAAGTAAAGCATGTGTATAAATATTCAGGCGCTTCACCTGTTTCTGTTCTTCCTATAAAAGGACAGAACAATTCATTTACTTAGGTTTCATTCTAGAAAACAGTGTGCTGTTAAATTTAAATCAATACAGTTTACCTTTAGCACCTCAGTCTCACTCAGATGTATTAAAATAATGAAGTCTTATCATATAGCTTTCCCAAATACATACAATCTATAATAATAAAGAATTGTACTTCTTGTTTACTTTGTGTAAATCTGGACTAAGTAAAAAGATTCTGAAATAACTAATTAAGTATACCCAAAGAAATGCTGCAGAAAAAGTTAGCTCTTGATTTCTAGGGAAGGATAGAGATTGGAATAACCCCAATTAAGAAAAATAAAATGTTTCCTTAGAACACAGATTATCAGGAATAACTCAGGTTACATACTACTGTGACTTACTTCAGTCCTGGGCTAACACTGAGCTCCAGCATTTATCCTGTTTAGATGGTTCTATTAAGTATGCTTGTTAGCACACAGATTAGTAAAGAATTTCAGGTTCAGTAATGGCAACACTCAACTATCATGAGCTACACACAGCGAAGCTATGGCTCCAGAGCAAGCCATGATGATGTAACTGCCAGCTACTACATTCTCCTGCTCCCCCCTGGCCCGAGATGCTTCAGCACAGGTGACAGAGCCAATCCTGCTTCTTCCCTGAAGGTGTAAGTGGCTTCACAGATCACTAGGCTAAAAGAATTTACAATGGGCTCAGGCAAGCACCAAGGATGACATAAACAAGAGAACAAGGACACGTGGGAGGCAGCACACACTTATGCTCCTTTGAACCCCTGGCACGCAACCAGTTCCAGTGCCTGTCAGATACAGCGCAGTGGTGGCTGGACCAGACATGCTCCAGAGGTCCCTTCTGACCTCAACCGTCCTGTGGTTCTGCGATGTTTTTCAGAGTATAAAAAGCACAAGCTTCCACAGAAACCACGGAATCATACAAGGTATGTCTCAGAAATGGGTTCATTTTTCAACAAGTAGTGGCAGAAAGCAAGATAGTAGGGAATACACTGCAACCCAGAGATCATCAAGGAATCTATCATGTATTAGTACAAAACAGTTATGAATTAGGCTACCTGAAAAAAAGAATGGGGCTATAAATGGATGTAAAAGTTATTAACAGTATTGACTACACAACATAAGGAGCTACACAAGCATGACTCTTTTCAGTGGTGCCCAGCGACAGGTTAAGGGGCAACGGGCACAAACAAACTCAGGAAGTTCCATTTGAACATGAGGAAGACCAACTTCACTTTGAGGGTGGCAGAGCACTGGAACAGGCTGCCCAGAGAGGTTGTGGGGTCTCCTTCTCTGCAGATACTCAAAACCCGCCTGGACGCATTCCTGTGCAGCTTGCTGTAGGTGACCCTGCTTTGGAAGGGGGGTTGGACAAGATGATCTCCAGAGGTCCCTTCCAACCTTGACCATTCTGTGACTCTGTGACTCGAAAAGGATCATAAAGAGCCAAGCCAGCCCATGCATGTCTGCAACAGGTTACTCTGCAGACTGAGAAAGCCCATCTGCTGATGATTTAGAAGCAATTATAATGGCTTTTATCAACACAACAAACCCACATGGTAACACTGGCCACCACAACACATGACACCATAGGAAAAGGTTTTAGTTCAAGCTCTCCTAACGGACATTTCAAAGATGTCACAATTTCATTAACAATTACACACTCCCCTCTGAAATGTTAGGTGTGCTTGTGCTTATTTATTATCTATCACATCACTGAACCTACAGGGCCCAAACAGGGGTCCTTAGTCAAACATGTCAAACACTGTAAATCCAAATGCACTTAAAAGGGCAAAAGTAGGAAGAATATCACGAGATCCAACCTTTTTTAGATTTAAGGCTACCAATTTTGGCAGGCTAAGTCTTGACAGACAGTTTAGAGAAAATATTGTTTCTTGTCTGTCTTTTTGAAAAAAGAATGCTAGCATGCACCAAAGGAACAACGTCAGTTGCTTGGATTTCTGAAATTTCTGCTTGCAGAGCATGCAACAGTGTTTCTGAAGCCATTAAAAAGTTTTAAACTGTTCTGCATTGTTAAAGAGCAAAATGAATAACATCAAATGCACTGCCAACCACCTTTGTGTCATCTGTTTATTTTATTACCATTCTATTATTGTATGAACCTGCTTACGTAAAGACTTCCAAATATATATCAGTCTACACACAAAATAGCTCCAAAGACTGAGTAACAGCAAGAATGAGATTTTAATTAACAGTGCAATCATCTGATATCTAACTTCCTGTACATTTAATTTCATCCCTTGTAGTGACCCTGATATATCCTGGTTTGCCTAAGCCACATCCTCCAAAAAAAAAGTTCCAAGCTTGATTTGAAGACACCACACGACTTTGTTCCACCTTTAAATTCTGACTCACAATTTTCAACTATCAATTCTTGTTCTACCTTCACTACTAGATAGGAAATATAATGACAAAAACCCAAGTTAAGACAACTGGTATTATCAGTCCAAAAAAAAAAAATAATTCGCTCAGAGGAAGATGACCTGATCTTAAAAGATACTTTGGCATTTGTTTGCCTTTTCCAATTCAATTTTAACAAGTTTCCTTAGCTTACTTCCTGTAGTATAATTATTTTTTGCTTCGTCTTTACCACACAGTTATTTCAGTTACACATCTATTAACACTTTAAAAATACTAAGCTTAGTTTTTTCTACTTCTGTTGAGTAAATAATCATCTATACCTACTTCTTGAGTTTTGTTGCCCAATTACAATTGTGTTATACTTGTACAATTTTCCAATCCCTCTCCCTTCTTAAGGCAGGACATATCTAGCACTGAAGTATTGACAAAGCAGTATTTCTCTGATGTATTTTATTTTCAATGAGCAGTTTTAGTGATTTTGCAGGCATCACTCTTGCTCTATTTTATATATACTTTGTATATTCGGATGTGTGATATAGAAATAGTTACTGAAAAAAGCCAAAAAAAGTTTTTCATTACAAAACTAGAAGAAACCAGGGACATAGCACAGAAATTTTATGACACTTAATTTCCTGCCAATATCTATCCTTCCAGAAGTTTTTCTACACACAGAATTGTTGGCAGTTTTAAATTATTTTACTATTCCCTTTGCTTGTCTATGGCAGATTTACTGGAACTCAAGTTTTTATTTAAATATGAAGGGTAAAGAGATGATTCATCACCAGCAGAAATTCCATATTTATCGGTCACTGACACACAACTGAAGGCAGGCAAATTTACAGTACTTAGCACTAATTATATCATTAGTTACTTTTTTTTCAAATTTCAATAGTTAATACAGCCCCGCATTGTCTGACATCAACCAGAGGTCTTGACTAGTTCAGAAATTTCTACAGTAACATTTTATGATTGTTTTTAGGACACCAGGCAATTACCAAAGTATAAAACAATGCAGTCAGTGTGAACTATTTCAGAACAATGGCTGCTACTTTTTTTTCCCACTTCACACTGCATTTTTAAACTTTGTTTAAAAATGTTTGAAGTTTTGAGTTTGAAGATCAACTTCTGCCATGTGTTGCCCATAGACCTTGGTACTTTACATGCAGAGACTATCTACAGTACATGCACACACTTTGTAAGACCTCAGACTTGACATTCCACACCTGTTCTGTACTAAAAGGACCAAGAACGACATATACATTTCATTACGCAGGTTTTCTGAACAAAAGCCCCCAAATGCCAGAGCCTGAATATCTGCTTAGGGTACAATGTGCATACAGACTACACTTTTAAGTATTTCAGCTGCTGGTAAAGAACACCTCTTTTGAGTATTTATTTATAAGTTTCTGTAAGTATTTATAAGTTTTCTATTGAGGGTTACTCAAAACAACATGGAATTCATGACAGAAGGTTCAGAGTCAAGATCAAACAGGTATCACACTATCATGGAGGTTAGAGTCAAAGAAACTCAAAATAAAATGAACTCAGACACACCAAAGAAGAGAAACTGTTTAAATGTCTTCCATTCCAAATGCCTCCAACAGGTCTGCCACAGCTACTCGCTTGACTCAGCCCAAAAATTCAATTATGCATTTTCAGTGAGGGAGGTGGTAAACAATCTATTGACCACGGAAGCCTGAGGAGACTTCTGGAAAGGCTTTCATTTACACTGATGTGAGCCTACTACTCTATTCACAGAAAAAATTAAAAGTCAGATCTTTAACTCCTGAGCAGTAGAGGCCAAAAAGCTACCTGCACCAACAGTGCAGTTCCACATCCATGGCAGGAAAACATCTGTCAGAGGAAGAGTTTCACTCTGAGTAACATAAAACAAACTGACAGTGCACAAACTTCCAAGGACATGACCTCCTACAGGTCCAAGTAACTGAAGGAAGCCATAGGGTACTCTGCTAAACAAAAGTGCAACTGTGGCAATCAGACCTGCCTCAACCAGCCAGGGCTCAAAAAGGACTCTCTTCGGCAGAACTGTTGTTCGTCTTTCAAAACATTAACAGAATTAAAGGTGTAGGTGGGAACACATACTAAAGCGTCCCCCCAGAAAGATGAAGAAGTCCCAAAAGCAAGGACTGAACACACTGACTAGCCTGCTTGTCTGAAGGGTTACAGCAAGTCAGTCTTCAGAACCATTTTAATATTTAAAAGCAGCCAACAGCCTTAATCTCCCATTTCCATTACAGTGAAATACAGTTGCTGACATAGATATTTCTGTATTCCGAAAATCCAGAAACATGTTTCTGCTACAGACTGGCTGGCTGGTTTAGCCCTGGGGAAGGCACCAATTCCTTGGGGGGAGGGCGATTTAAACCATTTAAACATGGTACCCAAGTCTGCACCCCAGTCAGGATGTGGGAAGCGTGTGCCTGTCAAGCTGCTCACATTCTAACCTGCACAGCACTGACCAATGGTTCCCTTTTCAATTGGTAGGCTTTTGCGCTCAAATACTACTACAGCATAGCTCAAGTGATAAATGAGGAGATGCTATGGGGACCGGTCAGCCTCCTAAGGATAACAAGGTTGTGTTCCCCAGAAGTGAGATATTAGGCTCTAGCAGAGACATTACTGAGATGCATCAGAATGCATGTTTGCTGGGAAAAACATTATCACAACAGTCCAGAGTCAATGAGGATGAAGACTCACTCCCATTAAAGGCTGCGTACCACCGGGTCTGCAAGAGCCAAAGGGACTCTTCTAGCCCCAGGGATGAACACTGAAGAGAAAAAACACCACACGAAGGGACTATGCCCCAAAAAACCAAACCAAACCAACACACCACACCTGAAGAAAAAACACAGCCTGCATTCCAGCTTGGAGGCATGCTTAACATGAAATGCAAAGCATCCAGGAGGTAGCAGTTGAAATTGGCTTCCATACCATCCTGGTTCAAGAGGTAAATGAGTTACAAACAGCATACATCGTGAGATTACAGACATGCTCCAGTACTTGTGACTCAGGTAATTCCAAAGTGAAATATAAATATGGAAAAGTATGCAAAAGAAATTACTCTCCTCCTACAAGGATTACATATGATTAGTGTTTATATATAACTATACTTCCCCTATTTGTATCAGATTACCAATAATTTAAAAACTACATATTCTGCATTTACTTTGTAATGTTTCACCAAGTTACTTCCTCAGCTGTTCAGAAGTTAGTGGCCAATTCCTGACTGGTCATGCCATAAACAGTATTTTGATACTAACAAGGCTGCCTACAACTTCTCTTCCAAATAAAATTTGACTAAAGAATGTATTACTTCAGTAATAACCAACCAAGTAGCCTGGCAAAGATTAAGTGGTAATATAGTTAGTCATATATAATTTAAGTAACATTCATAAAGTTTTGATGAATTAGAATAACCATATTAATGTTAAAAGCCACATAAACACTGAACTATGTTCCCTATAAGAACACACACATACCTGCATGAAATATCCAGTAACTAATGCCTTTCTTATGTTGATGTAATAGTCTCGGCTGGTAAAGTCTGTGCTTCTACGAGGCAAATTAAATCTATCCATGATTCGTGACAGCTGTTGGCGTACATTGTCTGCAGACATCAGGGACCTGTAGTTAATGAAGTTGTCATAACACCACTGAACCGACTCATGATCTGCAACATTAAAAAACATGAACCAAAAATGAGTATTTCATCCAATTAGAACAAGTAAATAGAACAGCAACTAACCGATTGATCAGTCAGATGAACCAGAAAAAGAAATCCATAAACTTTTATAAATGACAATAGCTCTTCATTTATTCAGTCAATTTCTTGCATTAGATAACTTGCCCAAACTATTTTCTATTCAGGAAGCATGTGGTCAGGACAAAAGAAAATTAGCTTCCCCCCCACACACACACCAACATAATATACACACAATCACTGATGTTTTGCTGAAATACCACACCAATAAATTCCACACATTTAAAAAAATCACATCCTGCAACTAGAAAAATCATAGAATCATTTAGGTTGGGAAAGACCTTTAAGATCATTGAGTCCAACTGCAAACCTAGCACTGCCAAGTCCCCCACTAAACCATGTCCCTAAGCACCACATCTACACGTCTTTTAAATGCCTCCAGGGATGGTGACTCAACCACTTCCCTGAGGAGCCTGTTCCAGTGCTTGACAGCCCCTTCAGTGAAGAAATTCTTCCTCATGTCCAATCTAAACCTCCCCTGGTGCAACTTGAGGCCGTTTCCTCTCACCCTATCACTTGCAATTTGGGAGAAGAGATCAACACCCACTTGGCTACACCCTCCTTTCAGGTAGCTGTGGAGAGTGATAAGGTCTCCCCTCAGCCTCCTCCCCTCCACGCTAAACAACCCCAGCTCCCTCAGCTGCTCCTCATCAGACTTGTGCTCCAGATCTTTCACCAGCTTCACTGTCCTTCTTTGGACATGCTCCAACATCTCAATGTCTTTCTTGTAATGAGGGGCACAAAACTGGACACAGTACTTGAGGTGCAGCCTCACCAGTGCCGAGTACAGGGGGACGATCACTGCCCTGGTCCTGCTGGCCACACTATT